ACACACACACACACACACACACACACACACACACACACACACCTTATTATCATTTAGCTCCGGGCAGCCACCTAACTGTATATGGAAGTCATGAACGTTCTAGCCCCTGGCTAACTTCTTCTTTCTCAGTGCAAATGCTTTCATTAGGAGCTGATTTATTGAAATGCATGCTTTATTCTCAGGTGGGCTCCCCCAGGGACTCGACAGTGTTGTCAAATGGCACCAGAGGCAGTCTCCGAAGCTCACAGGGCCCCTCTGCCTCTCATTCACTGCTCTCTCTCACCTGCTGCTGCTCCTGTCAAATGTCAACATTTGTTCTCAATAAAACAGAGTTATTGTTTCTGTGTGAGAGAGAGAGAGAGACAGGAAAAAAAGAAAGACGTGCAACCGGTCACCTTTGAACACATGAAAAGAAACTTCCACCCCACCTCTTTGTTTGATTGAGAGCAATGGCAAGTGAAAATAGGAACAAGGCGGCAATTGCACATGACAGACCTCAAGCTGTGCGGCCCGTTTCTCAAATGATTGGGAATTTATGCCACAATTAGTTACAACTGGAGAGAAATTTCAGTTACCTTTGAAGAACCTGCTCTTTGACTCACATTCATTAAAGTGGTCGCAGAGGAACCCAGCTTGCCCTTGACATAACCTGGATATTGATTCTCAAGGGTGAAACAGAGTATTTGCCATGTAACAAAGACTGCTACGGAGACCTGTAACCAAGCCTGTGTTTTAGAGATGACAATTTCATTTTATCTAGATATTCTTAATTCTACACACTGCATATCAATTACAGCTCATAATCCTATCACAGAGCTCACCAATGAGCAAGGACTAGTTGTCATTGAGAAGTAAATTGATGGTATCGTGGAGCTCAGAGGCTTCAGCTGAGCACAGACTAAAGAGCAAGTGGAATCATTCCTCTTATCACTGATCAAATAAGCTGCTTGTATATGTAGATAATTCATGGGGCTCTGTGTAGCTTTTATCCCCTTATCAAACCTGTCTTCTGCAAAATACTTCGGAGATTCATTTCTGATGCACACCTGCTGAAACCAAAGTTTTGTTGCGGCAAGTATAATTTATTTATTTTAATTTATTTTTTTGTAAAATTGTTGGAGCATTGATGAATTAGTTACAGCTGCCAGATAAGATACTTTAAAAATCAACTTGCATAGTTGACAATCTGAATGCACCACTTTATTATTATTTTGCTGTATCTTGTAACACTTATTTGCCCAACACTTCAAAGCTACAGTGTAGACTCAAATAAGTAGTTTCGATGTGCGTTTTTGGGCAGAAATTCTGAGTGGGTAGTAAAGTTGTTAAAAACTCTGGAAGAAGAAGATTTTGAAGAAACAGTATTCAATTCTTACGGGTTTGTTGAGCAAATAGCTAGCTTGAACTAGACCGAGACCAAAGTAAATCACTTTGGGCTGTCAAGTGTAAAATAAAATCTAAAACAAAAAAGCCACTAAAACACTTTCCTTATTTAGCTTAATTTCTGAGTATTAAACATTGTCGGATAACATTAAATTGCTATTTCACTTTTCTTAGTTCACAAATTTTTACTAAATGTTACATTTAAATATAAAAAAATGTAAATATTAAATCCTAAATCTAAATGTAAAACGTAAATCATAAATGGTGAAGTTACAGAGCTGATACCTCTCAGCAAGAAGGTCCCCATATTGAATCCTGGCCCAGGGAACTTTCTGGGTAGAGTTTGCATGTTCTCTCTGTGCATGTGTGGGTCTTCCCCATTTTTCTTTCCTCCCACAGACCAAAAACATGCTCATCTCCTAGGTTAATTGGTAACTCTAAATTGTCCCTAGGTGTGAGTGAGAGAGTGAATGGTTGTCTGTCTTGTTTGTCTTTATTTGTTCCGGTGATGGACTTGCGACCTGTCCAGGGAGTACCCCGCCCCTCACACAATGACTGCTGGTTATGGGCACCAGTGGCCCTGTGACCCTGAAAGGAAGAAGCAGGTATAGATAATGGATGGCTGGCTGGATGGATGGATGGATGGATGGATGGATGGATGGATGGATGGATGGATGGATGGATGGATGGATGGATGGATGGATGGATGGNGATGGATGGATGGATGGATGGATGGATGGATGGATGGATGGATGGATGGATGGATGGATGGATGGATGGATGGATGGATATTTTACAATGGAATGCAGCCTTTGCCGTTGATGCACAGCTCTATGAGACATTAGCAAATGCTAATGCTCCAATGCTGCTAACACTTCCCTACAAGACATCAAGCATGCAGTTGTGGCAGGTGTCCAAGCTGCACTTTAAGCTGCTGGATGTATCATTCACATTGTTTTCAATGAATACATTTTTGTAGTTAGATTTTAAATACCAGCTTTACTGCAAGTTTGATGTCTTGAAAGCCTTAAACGCATTGGAGTGTCAGCGGTTGCTGTGATAACACAAGCGATGCAGCATCAGCAAAGGCTGCATTCCATTCTGAAATATTTAACTGTAAACTTCAGCGTCTTCATCATTTAAGATTTAATGTCATTTTACATTTAGATTTACTCATGTAGATTTAGGATTTAATATTTACATGTATTGTTTAATATTTCGTATAAATTAGCTAAATTAAACAACAGTGAGCCAAATATCAATAGAATGTTGGTGGAACATTTTCAACATTTACACTCAGAAAATAAGATAAATAATGAAATGTGTTTGTGATATTTTTAGCACTTTAGTTTTACACTTGGCACCCGATAAATCACTACTACTTTAAAACAACTCCAGTAAAATTCTATTGTCATTCACATACATGCTATTTTACATGACAGAATGAATCTACTTTAATTTAATCGATTCTGAATTAGCCATTCATTACCTTGTCAGTCTTGTCACAGGTAAACTGTATTTCTACAAACTTTAGTTATTCAAAAACCTATCTTCAACATGTAAGATGTTGTTTGTTCATAAGTTTTTAAAACTTTAAATTAAAATATTGAAATTTTGATTTGACTTTACTAAACTTAGAATAAACCATATTCACAATATGCAAAATTCCTTCTTTAAATGAAGCAGTTAAAAAAAGTACAAAAAATCCAAGGCATCTTTATCCTTTGATTTGACTATTTATTTGCCTACTTCTTTCTGATGCTCCTGTGCCGCTTGTCTTAAACCCACCTATTAAGACCTAACCATGAACACTACTGATGTTCAGACTTAACTGTGAGTCCTAGTGTTCAATGGGAGACCGGGAGACCAAAGAGGTTGGGTGTACAAATCAGGCACAGTTGTGTTTAATAAAACACATCAAAGTGGATGGGGAACTTTAAAATTGAGTATGGGGTCCTGTCCTCTCATAAAGGTGTCAGCTGAAATGTTCACTACTCTGGATGATCAAGGGGAGTAAGCTGAGCAGGATTTTAACACACACATACACACACACACTCTCTCTCTCTCTCTCACATACACACAAGCCACACATACTCCTCCCTTCACAGATTTCACTGCCTGTGCCACTGCCCACACACACACACATGCTCCCTCAGACTGTGAGACGCTAATAATTGTTCATGCAACAGTTTAAACAAGGTCATTAGAAGCCCTGACTTCCACTCCTAATTGACAGTTATGTTTAATGCCTGTGGTAAGTAAACAGTCTGGAGCTGAGCATTGTACCTTTGGGCTGTCAGTCAGTAAAAAAAATGGTGGGACTAAACTAAAATCTCTTGGAAAACTAAATGTGAAAGTTGAGATTTGCAAAATAATTTCTAAAATTGCAAGTTATGTTTTATCTGGATGTGTTCCCGGTGATTTGCACACACAAGCAGATTTTTTTTAATGCTTTGAAAAAATATATATATATTTTCACATGTCAGTACTTTAATTTGTTTTATAAATGCAACACACACAAATTTATCATTCATAAAATTTAATAAACTGATTGATTGACACATCAGAGACCATTTTATGATTAGTACACACAGCACTTATGAAAGGTGGAAATACATACTGTATATTTACTTTTGTTCATAATATCTGCTTAGTAAATGCCGTAGCTGATACTAGCACTCAGTTTGACCTCAGCAACATTTTAGGTTTTGTGA